AGGCCACCGAGTCCACTGATCTCAGGCTCGGGGGAGAGAGTCCCCGAGTATGGGGGCCATAGCAGCAAATGATCAGTCACCTTTGGCTAGAAACAATACAAGAGACTGTGCTGTTGTTTTTGACCTTTTTAAAGGGACTTCACGGAGTTTTGTATTTTTATGCTCGCGATTGCCCCACTCAGGCCAAAAGCGTAACGGCAGCTTCAATAGTAGGCTCGTGCACGAGGCGCGCATGCTGTTATGGGGTGCCATTTGTAAAGTCAAACAGTCATAATCTAATAGCAATATTTTTGGTTATTTAGCATATCATAAGAGAAAAAATTGGGAGTTCACTTTTTCGAAGTCATATTTTCACCATGTTATTCATACATTTATAAATGTTAAAGTTTCCAAATAAATATTTAGTTAGCAAGCTAAATATTTAATTTGTAGTTAAATATTTATTTTGCAAACTAAATATTTAGTCCTGATGTAAATATTTAGTTTGTAAAATAAATATTTAAATCACTAACTAAATATATAATTTACTAATTAAATATTTATTTTGGAACTAAATATTTAATTTGTAAATTAAATATTTATTTTCCGAAAAAAATATTTAGATCCTAGCTAAACATTTAGTTTGCAAAATCTGTATTTGGGAAATAAATATTTAAGTCTGACCCAAAAATATAAAATATAGTGTGGAGCTAAATAACATCATGGGAAATAAATATTTAGCTGGTACTTAAACATTTAGCTAATATGCAAATTTGCTTGCCAATAAGCGGAAGTTGGTTACCAAAATAAAAGCTGGATCTCGCTAACCTCTTTATAAACTCTTGCTCTGAACCAGAACTTGTTTTATCTCTGGTTCTATTCTTCTTCAGCCAATTTGTCGGACATGTTCAGAAGAATTGAACTGGAGATAAAACAAGTTCTGGTTCGGAGCAAGAGTTTATAAAGAAGTTAGCGAGATCCAGCTTTTATTTTGGTAACCAACTTCCGCTTATTGGCAAGCAAATTTGCATATTAGCTAAATGTTTAAGTACCAGCTAAATATTTATTTTCCACGACATTATTTAGCTCCACACTATATTTTACATTTTTTTGATTCAGACTTAAATATTTATTTCCAAAATACTGATTTTGCAAACTAAATGTTTAGCTCCAAAATAAATATTTAGCTGGGATCTAAATATTTATTTGGGAAAATAAATATTTAATTTACAAATTAAATATTTAGTTCCAAAATAAATATGTAATTAGTAAATTAAATATTTGGTTAGTGAATTAAATATTTATTTTACAAACTAAATATTTAGATCAGACCTACATATTTAGTTTGCAAAATAAATATTTAACTACAAATTAAATATTTAGCTTGCTAACTAAATATTTATTTGGAAACTTTAACATTTATAAAAGTATGAATAGCATGATGAAAATATGATTTCGAAAAAGTGAACTCCCAATTTTTTCTCTTATGATATGCTAAATAACCAGAAATATTGCTGTTAGATTATGACTGTTTGACTTTACAAATGGCACCCCATATGCTGTACGTGCACACTCCTTAACGAAAATAACAGCTGAGACAGTCCGTTGTGTTTGTGTGTGTGTGTGTGTGTGTGTGTGTGTGTGTGTGTGTGTGTGTGTGGCCCAGAGGACAGGAGAACGCGCAGCTAATTAATTAAATAATGTAGTTCTGTACCTTTCTCTTCAGCACAGCCGACAAAGGTTTATGATGGGTCAGTCCTCCTGCATGCTCAGATCATTCCCTTCCCTTGCTTGAAAAATTGTTCCAAAATGAAAGTTGAACCCACATCTTTTTTATCTGTGAATTCAATGCTGTTCGGCAAGTCTCAAATAAAAATTTGGGCATCTTACTGTAAAAAATATACCATTAATGTAAAAAAGAAACTTTAAACAAACTATGTTCACATCGAGAATCGAACCCGAGTCTCCCTGCACGAGTCCATCGTCTTATTAGCTGAACTAAAGCACCAGTGACGTCTTTTGTATCTGTAATATTTATATCCTTGATAACAGCTGAAACAACGTTCGGAGCAAAAATGGCTATTTTGTTGCTAATTAGCAGGAAATATCTAGAAGAAAGTAGCTAAGGGTCCTCAGAAATGTAGCTAGCTTTGTCACTAGGCGTTAGGAACAGCAACAAAGTGGCACTGCCTCTCTCTCTGCTGCTAAAGCTACGGATAGCAAATGCTACGGGCGATGCCTGAGCGTGAACGCGCATGAAGCAGCCTGCTCGACCCGAGCATCTCTCTTTTTCTGTGACTTTACAGAAAAACAGGCAATCACAGTAAAAATGCCAGGGCTCATTCTACAGGACCAGGGCTTTGCAGGAGAATGTATGACGAAGACATTTATTATTTCTATACATGTTTTGGCTGTCACACTTCCATACTGCCCCTTTAAAATCGGTGACAAAAACTAATAAAAGCTGGGGTCTTTTCTGAACAAATAACATAATAACCAGACCCAAAAATGTAAAATGTTATGGTAAAACAGAAATTGGACAAAGCTAAAGTAATTTCTCATTTAAGAAATTAAAATCTCAACTATTTTAAGTTACGTTTCCATTACATACATAAACAATAGCCCTAAACTAAATACGTCAGCATTAGAGTGGTGCTTACCGTACATTTAGAATTATTCAAACATTGTCTGAAGACTGAGTGAGATAAATTCTGTGATGATAATAAAGAATATTTGTGGATATTTAACTATTTTCTTTAATAAACTTGTGAAGTGACAAAGCTCTTAATTTGAAAAGAACTTTTGAATGTTTATATTAATGAGCAGTAAAGATGTTTCACCTCCGTTTTTAAACCAATATAAATGTGTAACATTAAATAAAGTCCTGCTGTCAAACTCCAGGCGGCCTGAGTTTAAGCGAATGCTCTCAAAACATCATCAACCTCGAGCAACACAATGGAAACCATGCTCGGTCGGTTTACTTGCAAAATAAAGGTAAAACACTCATCGGTAACATTCTTTTAGTAAAACTATACTCCATGTTAAAAGTTACTTTCACAGTTTTTAGTTTAATCACTCAAAAATGAACATGAAACTGTTGTACAACTGGACTTACCTGAAAACTCAATTTATGGATAAACCGGTGAACACGAGACCTTCGTTGCTAAATCCCGTTTTGTGTTACACATAATTCATCTCTACGTAACAAGTTTGCGACGTAGCGTATAAAACTCAGTAACTCGCGCTTTAAACCGAGATTCAAGCGAGTCTAAAGCTCGAGAGCACAGCCCACCTCCTGCTTCTTTGTGAAACAAGTCGCTGACACACAGAGGATAGTTTAAATGAGCTGAGCTAAAGCAGCCCCATCCATGGACACGGACAACAAGTGGGGCACGAGCACGCAGCAGCCCGCGCCGCGCGTGCCATCTGGCGTTAGCAACGAGGAGAGCAACATTCTCAGACCCCGTCGTTCTCAGGCCCGCACTTCCAGGCCTTTTCCGGTTCTTGATGACGCTCCATTAGAATAAAGGCATTACATCAGAAAACACGTTAAAACGTTATAATTTCGAAAAGGTGATATATTTAAATGAAGGTAAAGTAGAACAGATATGACAACAACTGTTTTGGGGTTTTGACCTTGAACTAACTAAATAAGTAAGTAAGTAAGTATATTTTGCGTCTGCTGGGCAACTGTGGCCCTCTTGCGGATATTCTATGATATTACAACAATCATTTTCACAAACTACCCAAAATGCAGAATTTTCATGACTTGTCTGGTGAAAAGAAACCAAAAACAGGGAACGATCTTTATTTTCTACAATACTTTAATCAGACCGAATAAAGACCGTAATTGTATCATTATTTTTTTTATCTTGATTTAGGAGCAAAATGTCAGCCTGCTGATCCAGACTGAGAGAGCATTAGAGGCCCAGGAAACCTTTTCAGGTGCTATTAAGGTAATTAGTTCACTAGGGAGTGACATGTGCATCCATATTTCAGAATTCTTGAGACATCAAATTCTTTTTTTATGATCTGTAAGCCAATTGTCAAAATTACTAGAAATAAAAGGTTGAAATATTTCACCCTATGTGTAATAAGTTTACATAATAGATGCATTTTCTGAAATGAGTGACAAAAATAATTAAAATAGCTGTACTTGTATATAAAGCATGTATACACTGACAGTTAAAAGGCAACCAGACAGTTTTAAAACACTAAATGATCAGAAGATTATCCCCTGAGCTAATGTTTCTACCATCCTTCTGTTTTAGTGTGAATGCACTTAAATCACAACTGACAACATTTCAAGCCTGTGTTCATAATTTATAATACTATAAATATATATTTGTAATTTTTTCACAGTTATGGTTTTATAGCAGTGTGTTTGTTCCAGGTGCTGCCGTGAGTTGATTATAATGAAGAGGAAACCACGTGCAGCTCTCTCAGCTGCAAGCTAGTTCATAAAATCTCTTCATCATGTAAGAACTATAAATAAGTCACTGAAACAATTGTGATGATTCATTTGATTGAAGGACAAAATAATTTATATTTTGCAAGACCCTCTTGTCGATGTGAAATGCCGTTTCTGACCCAGTAATTGTAGGCTGTTACCATGGTGATGCTGGAGAAAGATGAGCTCCTCATGAAAATGCTATCCCATCTGGTCCCAAAACAGTGAGAACAGTTTCACTTACAAATTCACTTTGTGGTCCTGATTTTATTATGTGCAACCAAGGTGTGCTTTTTAATAAAAGTGATGTTTTAGGGTAAAAGAGGACTTCTGAAAAAATCTCATCAATCCACCTGTTTCTGGAACAAACAGCCAAACTCCCAAAAGAGAGAAGTCTCAGGGTCAAAGTTCACCATCAGACATGAATCTGTCTCTCTCTCTCTCTCTCTCTCTCTCTCCTTCACTCTGTGTGTGTGTGTGTGTGTGTGTGTGTGTGTGTGTGTGCGCGCGCGCGGACACACGAACGTAAGAGGTAAATGCCGTAGCCATTTGTCAGCAGAACAGAGATACGCCTCACACTCATCACCACATCCTGCCCTTCCGGACACAAAGACAGACACAAGGCTATTTTTTCTGCATTGAGTTCTTTTAGTTTCTGAAAAGCAACAAGATTCTGACTCTATTCCACCTCAGACAGAAATACAAGTCAAAACAAAACTGACTATCAGGTTTTGTTTATGAAACAATACAGAAAACCACAAATTAAACATAAAGCACAGAGTTTTTAAATAAATTAGAAGCAGTGCAGTGTTCCTGCTAGTTCAGTATGTTGTGTATGAAATTATTGGCTGCAAACACAAAGTCCTGCATCAGTGTGTGTTTTTACTCTTGTGAGGCTTTATTTTTTTGCTCAGTCAGATGAGTAAAATTATATTAAATCATTTTTATGATACAAAGTCACCTCAATATAATACAAGACATGCAGTATGATGCTGTTGCTCTTTAATGGAGATACCGGTTTGTTGTTGCAGTCGCAGTAAAATTACTTTATGGTGCATAAAGTGTTAATGCCCAAGCGCATATATGATTAACTCTGGTTTGTACATAAACTTTCACACATGTATTAGAACAAAATGGTGAGTTTAAAAACATTTGATATTCCATTTTCATTTATTAAATAACCTAAATGTTAATTTAAAAACAATTAACAAATCATTGTCTTCTGGGTAAAAATAAATGTAGATGAATTTACTCAGAAGGGGAAGCCGTCTTTTCAGAAACCAAACCAAACCTCAAAAGTTCTTGTTTTTTTTATCAGTTGTGGTTTTATTTTCAGAGATCAATGAAAAAAATCAGTGACTAACACAAACATTTAGCCTCCAAATTATTATAAAAATGATTATTTTGTATATTTTAGGGGGGGTTGAGGTGAGTCAGGGAAATTAGGACACATTAACAAAGCTGAGGGAAGAGAACGGAGTAAGGCCTTATGTCCTTGCTTTAAGTGCCGCTACCGAACCGATGACTTCAACTCCAGCAGCACTGGTTATGATACCCATGTTTCAGCTGTGGCTTTGTTCTGTACTGAGAAATGTAAACAATAACAAAACAATCACAGTAACATAGATGAAAGACTTCCTGAACAACAGCTGGTCAGAAAAATGGAACTCAGCCGGGAAGGACGGATGGGCTAAAGGCTAGTATGAATCAGCCTAGAATAAAGTTATGCTGCTATTGGAAAACTCTGTTCTCCTAAATTTCACAGCAGTTCATGGAATACCACTTTAAACCCACAACACTGATGTTGGTTTAACATGAGTTGTTTTCATGGATTTCTGTTGTTGTTTACAAGCCTAAACATCAACACCAGCAGCATTCCCAGTTTATTCAGGGGTCACGTCCAACAGGATGCTATTAATATTTCTGCTAAAAATAACCTCATTATGAAAATGATGGCAGAAGAAACATTAATGATGCTTTTTCAGAAACTGCTCTGTTCTCTACCTTCCTGTCGGGTCCGTCGAAGCCGTTTCCACATCCTGTTCAGAAGGAGCCAGCTCTTCAGTCACTTTCAAACAGCTCCATTTGCCAAAGCTTTATGCAGCTTAATGCACACATCATTTAGTAAATCTTTTACACCTTCGTGACATCACACGGTTATTTGAGCAGAAACAGAGAGTAATTCCTGCTGGACATAACTCCTAAATACACCACAACATTTTGATGATTATTCTTGTAAATAACCTCTAAATTCTATAAATAATCGTGTAACATGAAAATAAAATTACACTAAAGGTTTACATATAACTGTTTCAGGCCAGCAGCAGTGCACTTTAGTTCTGATTATCCATTAGTGCATCAGTCTTGACTCTATTTTTCTGAACAGAGGCTGTTCATGAAGCATTCTAAAAAGAACATAATTCTTTTGTCATTTTCACAAAAACACATTTGAAACAAGAACAGTTCATTTGCACCTAACACATCATTAAAAACATGAATACATGATGTTATTCTGCTACAGTGTTTTGCTGTAAAAGCACTGATGAAACAGTAACATAGTCTTTTAAGCATTAATCACCGCTTCAAGGCATTTGACGTTAAATCTGCTATTAGTCTAGTCAGTAGATGCTGCATGAGGGACATTGGTCTGTCCACTGGGAGAATACTCTGCACATATTTATAATCCCCAGCGGGACTATTACAGTGAGCAAAATTAAATGAGTTTAAAACTGAAACCATTACTAAGTTTCAAAGGGGACATATTATGACCATCTTCTGAAGTTATACTACTCCTATGGTCGGTACGAAACATGTTCATGAAGTTCTTCGCACTAAATTCCTCTCGCATGAAAAGATTTCAACATTTTTACTCTTGACATTTTCAGTACCTTCCAGATTGAGCCATTTCAGGGCTCTGTCATGAGCTAAGAAGCTCCAATATCTGAAAAGGGCTCAGAGTGAGAGGGTGTTTTAGCTTATTTTCTGTTTGTGATGTCACAAATGGGGACTTTTTTAGTTTTAAGCAAAACATTTATTTGAAAAATACTGACAGAAAATGGATGTATGGATTTTTTTTCAAGTTTGGAGTGTTTATAGAGGCAGTAAGACCCACATGACAGCACAAAAGGATGCAAAAGGTGACTTTTGTATAATATGTCCCCCTTAAATTAAAATTCATGAATACATGAAAACCACGTGAAGCCACACTCTTTGGTTCTGCTAATACTTAGGATAAGTTTTACAAGCTTCACACACACACCTGTGATGTAGTCAAACTGAAATTAAGCAGCAATTCACTTAGAGGCCGCCTCTTGATGTGGCCTGAAAGCTGCATAAATGTAAAATGTCGTTGCTTTTGTCTTGATGACAGGTAACGCCATGTCTCTTAAAGTTTAAACAAAAATAACACAAGTAGAAAAACTGGCGAACGCAGACGCAGAGTGAAGTGTGCATGCGTGTGTGTGTGTGTGTGTGTGTGTGTGTGCTTGCTCAGAGGCAGGTGGGTGCTGTCAGTTATGTACAACACAGTATCTGGCACATGGAGGGATGTGAGGACGCTGAAGATAAGGTTTATGTGAGTCCAATTTCCTCCAGCACACTGCGAGGGCTCTCTGCTTCCTGTGAGGAGAGAAGAACCACATCTCCAGTGAGGTCAACACACACACACACACACACACACACACACACACACACACGAAGGATGCTTTCAGTAAGCAACTACTGATGTGTGTTTGCGTGTTTTAGTTTTTAGAACAACTTTGTTTCGGATGAAAAGATCTTTTCCGACCAGACTGACGCTTTTCCACCTTAAATCAACACTAGTTTCAAACGTTTCATTGCAGCTAACCCAGAAGTTGCTTTATGACCACCATCATACAGAACTGTGTGGTTAAAGTAGTTTTCTGTGTAAACACAAGTAAACAGTTTGTACACAGAGTGTTCGATCTATAAACTCTAACACACAACAGAAGAGTCTTCAGGTTTTACTGTTGGAATAAGCACTAAATGTGACATTTATCTATGTATGTATGTCCTATCCATTTAGATTGGACTTTGTATGGCACTCCACTGGAACTAGCTGTTAGCTCATCTGTCCAATCAGAACTAACCCGTTTCTCCAAAGTTTTTTTAATATAAACGCAACACTTTTGTTTTTGCTCCAATTTTAATGAGCTGAATTCAAAGTTCTGAAACATTTTCTAAAAACACAAAATACTCATTAGCCTCAAATATTGTTCACAAATCTGTGTTAGAGCACTTCTCCTTTGCTGATAACACATCTTACCTCACAGGTGTGGGATATCAAGGTGCAGCATGAACATTGCACAGGTGTGCACCCTACATCAAATGCCTCTCCTCAAAAACCTGCTGTATAGAAGCCTGAGGAGACTCCAAATACTGCAGATGGAGAGTGTCACGAACTCCTCCAGCTGACTCCACCGAACTGTCTCTACGTTCCTACCAGACTTTGAATGGAGTTCTCAGGCTTACCAGCCCTCAAACCCCACCAAGGAAGTAGACAGCGTGGTACAGCGTGGTTAGATCCTTGGTGGGGTTTGAGGGCTGGTAAGCCTGGGAACTCCATTCAAAGTCTGGTAGGAACGTAGAGACGGTTCGGTGGAGTCAGCTGGAGTTCGTGACAGAGAGCCAGTTTGTAAAATTTTAATTGTATTATTGCGCAAATACACAAAATAATACGGTTGTTCCTTTAACGTTAGCCAATAAATGGTTCTCTCTGAATCATTGTTTCTTGTATCTTGCTTTAGTGCCCAGGTGGTCATAGATCATGATTTTACCATTGAAAAATGTATTTTGATTGTTTAAATGAAGAAATACTTAACATATTTACTTGTAACTTAGGCAATTGTTTGAATTCACTGTGTTGTTTTGAATTCTGACAAATTTGTTGATATTCTTCAAAACTTCCATCCCTTACCTGTCCAGGAAATCAAAGAGTGTGTGTAAGGTAAAAAGGAGACACACTTACTTTGGCATCCTAAAACCAGGATCAGCATAAAAGTAAAGAGAAGATGTTTTATTAGAGCAGAAAGACAAAACTCTTGTGTTATTCACTCAACATTACCCAGACAACCAGTGTTTCGAGAATATCATTAAAAACACAAAATAGAATTAAAACAAGTTGGGGGTCTTGAATAAAATGTCACAGTGCTAAAAGCTGAAAAGGTCTTTAACTTGGGTTAAAAAAACTTATTTCAATGATTAAACATTAATCCAGTGAAGGAAAGCCCAGTTATCTACATTCAGCATTGAAAACAAACTGGGACAATGACATCACACACACTAATCTAAATCAATCAGAAACACAGAATGAGACAAACCATTTGGATCTGTAAAAATTAACAGTAAGTGTTTCAAATCTATTCAGAAACAGAAAGGCAGCCATTGGAGGGAGGACATAACGATGTGACGCACTCGCTGAGTGGGACATGATGGCATTAATCTGCCGTCTCTGCGTCTGCAGCCATTTACCATTATGTCACACAGGAGGAGGCGGGGTTTCATCCAATCCAAGCAATTTATTCCCAGGTTGAAAATAACTTAAATTTTATTTAAAAATGACATCTCCATAGTGCCAACGGTAATATCTTATCATATCTAGTGGCTTTCTTTTCTATGTGAGGTGTAAAAGAGCATGTTACAGGCCCTTTAAAGACGTGTAAATCTGAAGATCATCCACACAAACGTTGACAGGAGGGTGATGCTGAGTTATAATCGTTCTGAGTAGCAACAGATACAGTGAAAAATTAAGGGGACCAACAATGGAGCCCTGTGGTACTTCACAGGAGAGAGAAACACTGGAGGAAGAGAAATTATTAATCATAACTGAAGGATCTGTCGAATAAGGTGGAAACCATTAACAGGTGAAACTGAGAAAAAATTGAATATGAAGCAAAAGTTCATTTACTTCAGTAATTTTACTTAAAAGGTGAAACTAATATATGAGATGGACTCATTATATGCAAAGCCAGATATTTCAGCCTTTATTTGTTAGAATTATGATGATGATGGCTTACAGCTGATGAAAATCCCACATTACAAATCTCAATTAGAGTAATGTGAAAAGGTTCAATATTCTAAACTCAAAGTATCACACTCTAATCAGCGAATGAATCCAGAACACTTGCAAAGGGTTCCTTAGCCTTTAGATGGTCTCTCAGTCTAATTACTGAAATAGATGTACTTTTGCACCATATTCTAATTTTTAGAATGCCACCTGTAAGTGCTTAGCTGCATTACTAACAGTGGCTCAGGTGAAGCAGGACAGTGCTTGACAGCAAAAGCTGCCATGAGGCCCAACAACACCAGGACCACAGGGCATCGACGGACATAACAATGCCCTTGTGTACTTCGTAAAAAGTAAAGCACATTTGTACAAAGGTGCTGCTTTATAATCATTAGATTTGGGCGGAGTGAGTGAAGCCCAGACAATAAAATAATACATTTTAAGTGTGAGTCTGGACGCCATTAAGTGTAGACAAAACACACAAATGCTGAAAAAGCTCGGTTTACAAACGAAGACACCAGCATGATTATTGGTCAGTCTAATTATTTATTTATTATAAAAAAATCATCAAAATATCACTTCAATTTATCGTAAGGTCAATGTTTAAACAGCATTATTTGAAGTACACATGAAAGATAACCACATTATAAAGGAACCTTTTACTATGTATTCTGCAATTATTTGTTACATAAATAATCTTTAAATGTAATCTATTGGTGTGCTTTACTATCTCTGTCACATTTTCACTCCCCTAATTTGTGCAAACGGCAAAATCTTATTAGAATAAGCTGACTAAAACACTTACCTTCTCATACGTTTATTCTATTTCTTTAGATATTAAAATAAGAATTTGAAGCAGACAGACAAAAAGCCTAGCAGAAACTCTCTAAGCCTTTCTAAAATTTGATCACAGTCACTTTAACACTTTTGACAATTCCTAGGAATCACAACTAGAACATGATAATGCAAAGTGAGAAGATAAAAACACGTGACAATAAGTAGTAAAAGAAAAGGAAAACAGATCTTTTGTGCATTCTCTACACACTCTTGAGTGAAAATCAAAGACACGACCCGTGAGACAATACAAAACAAATAAAGGACACATTTGCATCAAAACTGAAAGATCATGAGTCTGTTATCTGTGTTTAAATAAACCATCATTTATAAATATGATCAGATTTAGTGACTGGTCCTGGTCAAATAGGTCATTTACATCCTGATGATCGGATCTGGACAGTCGACTCAAACACAGACGCTGCTGTGAGGCTGAGCGGCAGCCTCTGCAACAGGGGGCAGACTTTCCCCACACACACAAACTCAGACAGGAAAAACAGAATGGGAAGAACATCCATCAGGAATAAATCCCACTAACATCTCTGGTCCAAATGAACAGGAATGGTGAGGTTTTTATTCACGAGTCATCCCGACCCATAACCCTTCTCCAGGGTCGGAAACCTGTGGGGCCGCGCGCTGCCTTGTAATTTAGACCAAACATAAAACACAAATTCATACTTCTGAATAACAACAATAAAATTGTTAAATTGAGCTGTTTCATGCAAAGATCTGTGGCTGAGTGGATTAATCACTAACATACAGCTTTCTACAAAATTACAGATCATTCTTTTAACAGTTAAAACTAGAAATAGTTTTGCTTTTGATAAAACTCAAATGGATCTGAAGTAAACAAAAGGCTGTTTTTGGGAGTCATAATTAAGCAAACAGGGCGTCTTTCTGTTCACTCTTATAATTTATGATTCGTGTCTGATTTTTAGGATACTAGCTCATTTTCCTCAAATAATTAACATTTACTTGCATAGTTTAGTGTTTAGATTTCACCCCCCCCCCCAATACAAACAAAATGTGTATTTTTTTTCATTAAATAAACAATTATACTAAAAAATTATTACAATTATTTAATTTCATAATGTTGGCATATATAGTTTTAGTGTTATTTAAAGTTGTAGTCACATTTTGAAGCTTTAAAATGGTTATTTTTTGTATTTATTAGGATAAATGATTCTTGCACAGTGAAAACTGCAAGCACTAATTTTGGTACAGATATTACGGTAACCCGATGGCAGTCAAGATGACTCAGTCAACACGTCGGTGATGCTTTAAAGAGCAAATGCACAGTGAGCCCAGTAGAAAATAACTTTACATGGTTACTTTCACATGTGGTAGTTTTCTTTAGACCGTTTCATGATTGTCATGTTGAACTGAAACTGCTGTTACACCCCCACCCCCCAACGACAATGTCAGGTGCTCAGAGGGCAGAGAGGAGGGTGCCAGGCACCGAGTAGCTCAGCATGCAGGGTGGATAGCAGCAGCAGCAGCAGCAGCAGCGATGGCAGCCAATCAGTACACAGGCACATTAAAGTACTCATGACGGGGCTGCAGGAGAAAAAGGCACAGTGCTTAGAGAACACGCCAGCACCGAGTCGTTTCAGCTACCTCGTGCACACACAGCTGCAGGGCATGCAGGACACCGAGCAGCAGGCAAAAGACAAACTACTTCTCCTCAGCCAGGAGTTGGTTTAGGTCAACAGACTCTTAAGTTCATGTCTTGTGTCTTGAGTTTTAAAAAACTGTGTGG